CTTTTTCGAAGTTATGTTTGTTGATTCCACTTGATTCACCATAAGGGGAGGATCGAAGCTTCAGGAAACTGACGTGAATATTGATTTGATTCAATATGAACCCAAATTACATTTTAGGTATGCAAAGACGATGCCAGTTTACTTCTATTATACCTGTTTTAACTTAAACCATTCAAATACAAAGGCAACTACTCCAAGATGTTGAAGAAAAACGACGATGTTGAATTATTCATGGTATTACATATGAGCTCTCTCTCTTGGAAAAGGATAGAAGTGCCTGATGTTCGTCTGGTCATCAGTAATTTCACTGATGCTGATTGCTTGCATCATTTTCGGTAAGAACGCCCCGAACACGAAGCAGAGGCCGACTAATCTTATTAACATGCTATTATCTCATGTTTTCAGCTTTAAATTCGGAGAAATTCATCAGCTGGTTGAAGCTTTACGCATGCCAACAACATTCATCACAACCAACCGGCTCAAACTGTCTTCAGTTGATGCTTTGGCCATGCTACTGAAACGGATGTCGTATCCTAATCGCTTGGGTGACTTGGTGCTTTTCTTCGGACGAGAAGCATCTGTTATCTCGCGATTCACAAATGAAGTCTCGTTGTTTATTCATAAACGATGGCATAATCTTCTACGGTGGGATCACTGTCGGCTTACTGAAGAGGTTCTGCAGAGCTATCACTGTGCCATTTGGGACAAAGGTGGTAAACTAGACGGGTACGTGGGCTTTTGATTTCTCAATCGTCCCTAAGCTGATCATTGGACAAACAGCTGCGTAGGCTTCATAGATGGAACAATGCGGAATATCTGTAGACCAAGTTCCAACCAGGAATTGGTGTACAATGGGTGGAAAGGGGTGCATGCTTTGAAATTTCAAAGTGTTGTTGCTCCAGACGGCTTGATTTTGCATCTTGATGGGCCGTACCTTGGCAAACATCACGATGCTTGGATTCTCCACGTTTCTGGGCTATTGGGTGTACTGAATGACCACCTGAGATTTGGTGACAAAAGGTTCTGTGTGTATGGTGATCCAGCTTACCCGGTATTGCACCGCTCTGAACCAATCTAAAGCTTTGTGGGTATTAATTAAATAGTTTTTTAGGTAACCGAACATCTGATTGGGCCTTTCAAGCCGCCACGTAATCCGGAGGAACAAGAATTCAATAAAATGATGTCGGCAGTAAGAATTGCTGTGGAATGGGGATTTGGGATGATAGCATCCAAATTTGCGTTCCTGGATTTTGAGCGTAACCTCAAGATGCTCTTACAGCCAGTAGCTCAGTATTATTTAGTCTGCGGGCTACTGCTAAATGCTATGACGTGTTTAAGAGGAAACCAGACGAGTATGTTTTTTGAGCTCAATCCACCCAACCTTGATCAATATTTTACGGATCAAGGTGCTCAGCATGAGCCAGACTCTTGCTTTCATTGTGAAACTTACAGCAATGTAAGTGTTAAACGCAAACAACGGACATAACGGAAACGTGTTGCTGAAACAACTCTATTCATTGATAGGAGTAGCAGTAAATAGACAAATATATGTATTTATGTATTAACTAAATACAAACTTCATTTGTTTTTATTCATGTGGGCTATGAAGCTCATCATAAGTTGATTCTGCATTTCATCGCGTTTAGCCTGCAATTCCAATTCTCTGGCACGATTCTCCTCGTGTTTAAGAGCTGCTTCCGCCAACTTCATTGAAGCATCAGCTTCAGCCTTCTTGGAGGCTTCGTATGCGTTTGTGAAGCTGGCCAGTTCGGATTTTCGTCCCGCAGCTCCAGATTTACTGGCCTAAAACACAAGAAGAGTACAGCTTTAACATTTGCCTTGGTACTTCTGAGACACACGGCACGTACTTTATAAGATTCAGCGGAATCTTTATCCGAAATAGAATCTTTGCCAGATTTTGGTTTTTTCAAGCTAAACGTAGCTTCTCTACGAAGCTTTTCTCCAATATTACTCTCACGTTTGATATTCTTGCTCTGCTTAGACGCTCCTTGCTCTTGTATAGTGAGTTCGGACTGAAATAGAAGCTGTGTTAGTTGGAAATGATGAAATATCATGATGTATGACGCCTTACATATTCCAAAAGTTGAAGCAAAAGCGTCTCTCGTTTCTTCTTATTGGCTTCGACAGCTTCATCCTCTTCATCCATAACACCCATCCCAGTTTTCTTCTTTTCAGCAGCTTTCAATCGTTTCGCTTCATCCACAAGAGATTGAATTTTGTTTTTCAATGTAAGCGGAGCAGCCAACTTGACTTCAGATCCAGGTTCTTTGAGTGCCACCTGTTCCCTCAACTGCCATGGGAGCGGTATCAATAAACGTGTAACTGCGCTTGATTTGTCCTGCTAGGATGCTTACCTTGTCAGCAATCTCCTTTCAAGTTTTACCAGCGCTTCCATGAATCCAGTTCTTGGTGGGAATCTCAAGGTAGATCTCCATGAGTAAGTTCTCGCGGGCTTCACTGAAACGGAATTGCTTCGGATCCTTTTCAATTTTGACTTTAGCACGTAAAGCTGCGTCCTCATCATTCTCGTCATCTTTTTCTTCATCGAAATTGAACTGATCGTCATCGTCGTCTTCACCTCCATGGTCACCTTCACCTTCCTGAGCTAACTGGAAATCTTCATCGGACTCTTCATCTGCATCGCCAGCATCGAAGACTTCCAATGCAGGAACGTCGACCCGTTTAAACCCAGCAAATCCACCATATCCTCCATGTCTAACTTGAACTCCTAGGTTCCTGCCAGTAGTGCTAAGAAAATGAAATCATCAGTGTCAACTTTGCACCAATTTCATATCCCCAATGGACATTTACCGAGTAGTGACATCAACATCACTCTCATTGGAAGATGCTGTTCGGTTGGATCTGTCGTTATCAGTCACAGATCTACAACTGCTGGTGTGAGAGTGCTGAAAGACGTTTTTTGTGACAATTACTTGTTTTGCATACTCAGCGGGTGAAGTGACGTTCGTTGAAGGGCCTTTATTACGTTTTTTGTTGACAAGACTAGATGCCGCAGCTTTTTTTCTACGAACAGAAGCATGTTAGGTCTCAAATCGTTGCAAACAAAATTTGAACATACTTTGGAGGCATGATTTGTACCGTTCTGGAAAAGAAAAAGGGTGTATCAAGTATAGAAAAAGGTATTGTGACGCTGTATAGCAAGCTCCTCTCTCTTCTCGACTCCCCTCTAATCTATAAAAACGTATTCGTGTAGGGGTTGTTTACACGAAGAAATAAAACCGATATTTATGTTTGGACCGACTTCGCATTCTTCTACACAAACATTTAAACATAAAAATGGGTCTGCGCAAGGTC